CAATGTTTATTTAGAACTACCGAACTAACCCTGCTTTGTCAAAATCTTTTGTTTTTATTTTTTTTTTTTTTTTGGGGGGGGGGGGGGGGGGGGAAAGTTTGGTCAAATAAAACAACCACTGCCGATTCCCTTTCGGAGGACACAGTAAATTCAAAAATCGAACATCGCACCTAAAAATAAATAAACAAACAATCGTCATCAGGATTCTATTCGCATTTGATTGGATCCTACTTTTACGCAAAATAATAGGTTACATTGTTCGGGGGATCACACAAGATTCATTGAATGCCGATTGAATAAGTCTCTCTCTCTCGGGGGTAACATTGCGTGCGCCTCCGATCGTCTTTTGTCGCCCATTGACCTTCCCCCGGCACCAGATTTCACCGGAACTTGAACTGAGTTCGGTGGGCACGACCATTGAACGTCCCAATGTGGCAAGCATCTTCCCCCGACAATTCATGGTAGAGCGAGGAACTTTCAACAAGGTCACCACCATTGGTTTTCGTATATTTCGATTATGTAATGTATATAGAATGACGGAATGGTCTTTTCAACAAGTCCGACAAAGAACAAATCAAATCAAGACCTCAAACATTTCTTATTCATCTGCTCCTTCCTCGCCAATGATATGTATTGTGTTTATGAAAAAATAAAAGAAATCCGCCGATTTCCCTACGAGCAATTTCTTTTTTTAACATAACATTAATCTCTGTGCGACACAAAATAATTATCCATCATAGTGATGGAAATTGTTGATCAAGACAAAAATCAACTATTCCGGTATTACGTGGAACACAAAATCAATACATCGCGTTTCTCATAGTAAATGCTAAGGAGAATGAAGAAAAAATGATTGTGTGTAAGGAAACTGACACAAATATTTGATAGGTACACAATCGTTTGTTCCTCTTTGTTCATAGACGCTTTCTCTCGACGGGCGTTGCGGTAAAGCCGGTGAACTGTAATTGCGAATAGAATGTTCTCAGCGTTTCAGGAATGAATGTGAATTCAGTCTGTCCAATCATATCGATTATCCAACGCAGAAAGAAAATGCGTTAAGCTAGGATCATCCTAAATTACCTGCATGGCTGACTTACGTATTTCCTTGCAAAAGGGTTGACATTGAGTCCACGATTATTTGAAAGTTTAATCTTTAAATGGGAGGGATTGACTTCGTTGTTTGAAATTCAATCTCCTGATACTATAACCTGTCACATTTTTTGAAATGAGTCAAGAAAATATTTGTGTTCTCAGGAAATTTCTTTATCCACTTTGAGTAAGATTGTAATTTTCGCTTGGGATTCAATAGGCAATGATCGGCCAGGTGTTTAAATCTCGATCCAACGCAGTTTCAACTTTAGCGGTGGCAGATCGTTGGTCAAGGGAGAATTGCCCTCTTCGCACCGGATTGAACTTGTGTGATCGATACAGCATTTTCTATTGATCTTATTTGACCGTGGATTAATTGCTTAAGATTCTTCAGGATAGACCCACCTCCCAAAAAGAAAGAAAGAAAAGGAAATTATCCCGTTTGCGCAGCTGCACAAAATTCAGCGCATCGGATGCCGACAGATCTGGTAGTTTGTAAAGGTGATTTTATTTTTTTGCATCCCTTGATGCGAGGGTGAGAAAAGAGGGACGACGGTGCATACGGTGCATACGACGTGCACGGTGAGAAATGAATTGATTCTTGAATTTCGACCCGAAAAGCGAGCAAAGTCGGCGATCGTACGGCTGGCTGCGCCAAATTTAGCAAGGTTCCGTGGGGAATTTCTGAATGGCATGAAAAAGTAAGCGAGTGAGAGAATTAGGTGGTAACGAATCCATAGGTAAACGCACGATATCGATAATGAGAACGTCATTCCTGCATTATGATGCATGACCAAATAAAACCTTGAGGTGCCTAATG